ATTCGCGAGTTTACGCGGGTCTGCCCCGCACTGTTTGCCAGGCCTGGAATAAAACTTCCTTCCTCCATTCCAAATATTAATTATTTTAAAATCTTAAATTTATTTTAGAATATTAAGCATTTTAGAGAAATAAATAATCATATATTACTCCAATTATTTTTTATCCTTATTGCTCCAATAGAAGAGTGTTAACAGGCTTCTTAAGGGAGGGGAAATTTTTTTTAAACAAATTCTAATGATTTGGTATTTGTATGAAAATCTTACAAGACAGATAATAAGAATTAAATCACCATATATTACCTAATAAGCCCCTGGATTAATTGATAGTTTAAATTCTTATTTTTATTTTATCAGTGATAGTTTAAAATTATAAACCCAAAAAGTTGTGTACAAACCAAAATGCTCGAGGGTGCTAGATAAATTGAGTGTGGACATATTACATAGACAACTCATTCTGATGTTTTAATATTTTTACGAATATTAAAAGACATATACTAATCTGGATGAAATCGTGACAGGACCTAATAAGCTCCTGAGTTAATTAATGGTTTAAAATTAGAAAACCAAAAAAAAAAAACAGGAGAGTGGTAGATACATTGAACCTGGACATACGCATTGTGGGGCTATAAAGGACTCCTGTAACTCAACAATATTCCTCACAAATTAATCACCTTTGTATTTCTGTTTCTATTGCCTCAGTTTTAATAGCAAATTTTATAGTTCCACCATTTTCTCAACTAATTCCATTAAAATGTTTTCGACAATTGCTGAGCCTTCTAACCAAACAAAGCCTTATCACCGGGAGATCTCCGCCGTGCCGGAGAGTGAGATACTCAGGAGAAGAAATGAGGAGTTGGAGAAAGAATTGAAAAAGAGCATTGAGAGGGAAGAGAAAATGAAGCAGGAATTGCACAAAACATGGGAAAGGCTGAGAGTGGCGGAGGAGGCGGAGGAGCGACTTTGCTCTCAGCTCGGTGAACTTGAGGCCGAGGCTGTTGATCAGGCTCGGACTTACAGGACACGTGTCATCCATCTGATGGATCAACTCTCTTTGGCCCAAAAACTTCTCGAATCAGCTTCCATTACCGTCCCAAATTCCCAATGATTCTAGGAGAAATTGGCGGACTGTGCCTGTAACATTATGCACCTAAGCCTTGGCTCTTCCTTTTCAGTTTTCTGGTGTGTGGCCGTGTGGTTGTTTAATTTCTTCATCACTGTTTTTTTTCTTTTACCGATTGACATAGATAGCCTCTTTTTTTTTTCTTTTTAAATTCATTTGATGTTTGATATATGGCTGTTGTGTATTGTTGGCGGCCAATTTTTATTGTGGGGTTGGTTTTTGGCTCCATGTTTGATATAGGAACTCAGAATTGTGGTATATAGTATATTGACCTTTTTTTCTTCTTCTTTCTTTTTCGATGTGTAATGGTGATTTTTTGTGCTCATTAATTAGATTACAGTTTTTTATCTTGTTTCCGTACGTATAACTTTAAATAGCAGGCTCAGTAACTATGGTAATAAGACACGACGTTCTTGACAAAACTTATGTTGTATTCTACTTTCACTTTCAATTAAACAACTTTATTTGTTCTTTTATATTGTTCTCATTTCTGTTTTCGGAGACGCTGTTCTCAGAGCCAGACTTGTCTTTTTTTTTCAGTCTTAATCGCTAAGTCTTATTTTTAATCTTGTTTATTTATTATTTTTGGATCAAATCAGTTCGATCGTTTATAAACCATACACCTAACAAATTAACTGTACCGTTTTACGAGTAAACACTTACTAATTTATGTTGCCAATTAAGTTGGTTAGAAATTACGTGCAGCACGGTTGTCTTTTAAATGCGCTGATATCAGTATACAAAACTTAAAATCGAACAAAAGAAGACGACGCAGACATAATAAGAACTCGACAAGCTTATCTTGAGAACATCATTTTCTTTTTGCTAATTAAATGACTATGACTATGACTATGATGCGTGTCTGGTCTACTCTAATTGCACGCCTAATTTGACATTTGATTGAAAAAGATGTATGATTTCTGTCCCTGAAGCTAACAGACCTTAATTTTTATTTTTTTTAAAAGCAAGAAGGGTACTTCTGTGGTCTGAGAGAGCCAAGAGACGGGGCAAGAATTAAAATGCAACTTTGGTCTGTTGTGAGGAAAAACATACACTCTAATTACAGAGTCTGAAGTTTCTTCAATTTAGTGCCAAGTCCATTCCTTTGCAAAATATTAGCAAGAAGTCGTCCAAACGACATCTAAAATGCCGACTATGACAATGGCAACATAAAGAGGTACTATATATATATATATATATATAAAATGAAAGTCAAATACCTAGAAATTCCCATTTCTTTGTGTTCTTCTTTTGTTGGTTCTTCTTCATCGCTGAATGTAAATAAAATAAATTGGAGGCAATAGGGAAAATAAATCTGGAAAGGACACGGCCGACCCTCAACATCCCAATTTACAACTGAAATAAAATAACGTAGTCCACAAATTTAAGTCAAGAGTGGAGCACTAGTATTATCTTATTGTTTTCGCATCCATTGACGCAACAATACGTAGACAAGTCATGTAACGCTGGAAAAAACTTCCTTCCTCCATTCCAAATAGTAATTATTTTAAAATATTTAATTTGGTTTAGAATATTACTTCTTCCGGTCCACAATAAGTGATTTTTTGGTCTTTTTTTCGTGGTCCAAAATAAGTGATTTTTCCAGATTTCAAGGATGAATTAATTGTTTTGTTCCTACATTGCCCTTGGAGTAAATAATGTTGGAGTATGTGTTAGGAGTATTATTTATGTGAAGAGATAGTAAATGTTAATATGGTCAATTTCATTGCTAATTAATATTAAAAGGTGAATTCCTCTTAATATGTGTGAAAACAACTAAAAAATCACGTATTTTGAACCGGAGGGAGTAAGCATTTTAGAGAAATAAATAATCATATATTACTCCAATTATTTTTTATCCTTATTGCTCCAATAGAAGAGTGTTAACAGACTTTTTAAGGGAGAGAGAAAAAACTTTAAACAAATTCTAATGATATGGTATTTGTACGAAGATCCTATAAGACAGATAATAAGGATAAAATCCTCACATTAACTAGTAAACCCTGGATTAATTGATAGTTTAAAATTAGAAACCCAAAAAAATTGTGTAAAACCCAAAAAAACTTGAGGGTGGATACATTGAGCGTGGACATATTCTTCTAACTCTGATGTTTTAATATTTTTACGAATATTTAAAAGACATATACTAATATACTAGATGAAATCATAATAGTACCTAATAAGCTCCTGAATTAATTAATGGTTTAAAATTAGAAAACCAAAAAAATGAGTAAAAAAAATAAAAAAACAGGAGAGTGCTAGATACATTGAACTTGGACATACGCATTGTGGGGCTATATAGGACTCCTGTAACTCAACAATATTCCTCACAAATTAATCACCTTTGCATTTCTGTTTCTATTGCCTCAGTTTTAATAGCAAATTTTATAGTTCCACCATTTTCTCAACTAATTCCATTAAAATGTTTTCGACAATTGCTGTGCTTTCTAACCAAACAAAGCCTCATCGCCGGGAAATCTCCGCCCTGCCGGAGAGCGAGGTGCTCAGGAGAAGAAATGAGGAGTTAGAGAAAGAATTGAAAAGGAGCATTGAGAGGGAAGAGAAAATGAAGCAGGAATTGCAGAAAACATGGGAAAGGCTGAGGGTGGCGGAGGAGGCTGAGGAGCGACTTTGCTCTCAGCTTGGTGAACTGGAGGCCGAGGCTGTTGATCAGGCTCGGACCTACAGGACACGTGTCATCCATCTGATGGATCAACTCTCTTTGGCCCAAAAACTTCTGGAATCAGCTTCCATTACCGTCCCCAATTCCCAATGATTGTAGGGGAAATTGGCAGAGTATGCCTGTAACTTTATCCACCGAAAGCATTGGCCGTTGCTTTTCAGTTTTCTGGTGTGCGGGTGTTTAATTTATTCATCACTGATTTGTTTTTTATTTTCCGATTGACATAGATAGCCCTTTATTTCATTCATTTGAGGTTTGATATATGGCTGTTGTGTATTGTTTTGGCGGCCGGTTTTATTGTGAGGTTTTTTTTTTTTTGGCTCCATGTAAATGACGAGATGTAAGATTAGGAACTCAGAATTATGGTGTATATTGACCATTTTTATCTTCTTTCTTTTTCGAGGTGTAATGGTGATTATTTGTGCTCATTTGGATTATGTTGTTTTCTCTATATATATCTATATTCTTCTGTTCTCTCCTCCTCAATTCCGCGATAATAGTAAACATTATGCCCGGTGTCGAAAAGGTATGTATTGCCAAATCAATATTTGCACGAAAGGCAGAGAGTAACACGATATCAGGCCATCTTTCAATTTTAGTGTTGGGTTAACATGTGCTAAAGAAAGTGTGCTGAAATGGACAGACCGTGAGAGTTAACAAGGAAGAAACTTAAAAAAGAATTATCTGTATTGGAATGAACTTTCGTAATCCTTCCTTACGTAGAGAATGAAGTCAAAATGGAAAACTGTACTCTTTCTTTTGTCAAATCAAACACCAAAAGAAGATCAAAGTAAGCAAGGTTGATCTAACGGCTTATGCCCTGGCAACTTTTATCCATAAATTAGTCTCTTTCTGTTGCCAAATCAAAGAGTAAAAGAAAATCAAAGTCAGCAAGATTTATCCATAAACTGCTTCCGCCTTTGACAACTTTTGTAAGTTCAACCTCATCAGATTTCTACACATGTGGTTCTGCATTCTAGTGTGTCAATCTTTCTTCTTCTTTTTTTAAGTCAATGGTATCCTAATTAGTTTATGGGCTTGTAGTCAGCTGAGCAACATGTCCAGACTTTACAACTCAACAATCTTTCGAAGGCAGACCCAATACATGTGAATGATTTCTCCACCCTCTATGAGGTCTCAACCCAAATATTTGAAAGGAAGATCATTCCGCATTTATTTCTTGACACCATGATAAGAGAATGTACCTTGGCCTAACGCAACCTCAAAAACTAGCTAGAATTGTTCAAGATCATATAAGGAGAGCAAATTTCCCACTTCACAATTACCACTGATAAACAATTCAACATATGACATTACGGACATACAAATACACACGCACTTGATGAGGAATAGCAAGAATTATCTGCACGCATGGAATAATTTCAGGAAATTTGAGCAAGTTTTTGCTAATATCTCATATTCACCTCAAATAGCAAACAAGAAAATAAAATTAGGAATTGCTGAAATCTTAACTGGCAAAGGACCCAGAGAAGATGATCTCCAATTTTCTTCTTTTTTTCTATAAATAATGGACAAATCTGATGTTTCCAGCTCAAAAGCTTGACGAATAGGGAATCTGCCCGTTCACCCTTCAACACTAAAACACAAGCCTCCAAAGCTGGGAGTAAGGGGGTGGGGGGTTAGGACACTAAATTAAGCAAACTGTAGCAAACCATATAATGCTGGAAAGCAGCTAGCTATATATCAAAGAAGTTCCATAATGGCCCAGTTCATTGCAACATTATAAAGCATAGTAAAACTGTCACTATTTCTCAAAATACAGAATACAATCTCATTCCCACAAAGGAAAATTTGATCTTTTGCAACTTGCAACTGTAATAGCAGTGAGTTCATCCTTGTCTCTTTCTGAGTTCCGGATCCCTAGAGCAAAAAGTTCCAACAGGGTATTTAATTATTTCATTCACCAAAGAGTTCAAGAGAAAGTTAATTAGCATGAAGCATTATTCACCTCTTTATTTGATCAAGAATTAGAAGCCTTGGCCCTGGAGGGATCCTCACATCTCTAAGAGCACTACAAACAGGAGAATGAAATGAGGTTTAATCATGAGAAATGCATAGGATAATATAGTTGCATGAACCAATCTGTCTTACCTATCAGTGAGCAACGGCAAAGTGTTGTCTGTCAACAGCCCTTTCTTGAAATTCTTTTCATAATTTTGCAGGCCAAGGCTTGACAACATTGATCTGGTTCTGGCATAATGTGTATCTTCAGCAGGTGGCTGCGAAAACTTCCGGCCAAGCTGCACAAACCAATTAGAGAAGATTTTAAGGATGAAGAGATATCGAGGTTATCACTCTATCCCAGACCAACACACTAGGTGCCGACAGGGAACGACAACTGCTACTTCTCACACCCCAACAGCCCTAAAGGTCTCTTCATACAAGAATTCTAAATTTATCTTCTTAGCAGATGGACCTCAAAGCCAAAATAAAGTAATACAAGAGATACATGTCTGACTGGCCGTAAGAAGCTCTTTTAATGACATAAGTAGAGGATTTATAATCCAGCTTGATTGAGATTAACTCATTGTTTTAATAATCTGAGAAATCGCCCAGGCCAGTGGCACACGATTTGAAACTCGATGGATAATGAGCCTGCCCTTCAACCCTTATCCACTTAAATACCAGGCTTTTTGTCTGCGGCAGGGTTTGAACCCGTGATGTACGCCTAACCCAGACATCATGTGTTGCGCTCTTATCATTAGACCAAAGCCTTGGGGACAAGATTAACTTGAACTTTTATTTTGAGTACTCCAAGAAAATTCTAGTGAAGTATAACCTGCCAATTATAAACTTATCCATAATACTGACCTTCTACCTTTAAAAGAGAGGAGAGGGGGAGAGAAAGAACATACAGAAAACTTAAAAGATCAGGATATTGGTGAACTGGATATTTTAATTTTCAAACAGCGAGGAAATCCACGTTCTTACTGCTCATTTTAGAAGTCAAATTCAGTGTGTCCATTAAATACCCTGAAATCTCATATTTAAGTTCCCAGTTCCAAGTACACCTGTTAACTGAGAAAGGACCTAGAAACAAAAAGAAATTAGGATGACAATGAACATGATTTGTATCAGGTCACAGCTACTGTACTTCATCGGTGGGATTGGCGTAATTATTCAGAAAGAAACCAAACTCAAAACTTGTGGAAGAAAAATAACAAATCAAACTGACTTAAGGATTGGCATACTATCCGACGTACAAGTCTAATGACACGAGAATACAGAGTACTGGATTGAACCAAACTCCAGTCATAAAGTAAAAGGTAAAAGAAAAAATCAGACCAGCTTTGCCATACGGGAGGGGAATGCTTTTATAATATAGCATGCCAATACTATTATTATGTTTTATTTATAAGTAAGCACGCTGATATTGTCACATTAATATAAAAACTATTATCTTTTCTCCACAGATATATGAAGAAGTTGGCTCTCTCTCTCTCGCGAAGGAGGGTTAAAGGGGGGTCACTCAGAGACATGAGTGCATCATTGTATACCATTTGTTACGTCAGTATTACCTCAAATAGTCCACCTTGAACAAGGGCAAAGAAAATGCCAGATGTCAAAGCATTGGGTACTGGATTTGGGCCACCCATGCCACTAACTAATGAAAACAGTGCTCCAGAACCAAAGGCAGCTGCCATACTGCAAAAAAATGATTTATCAATCTCAAACAAGTACCATAAACAAAAAGATGCATAGTCAAAGAATTCGTCGATGTTGGAGGAAGGAGAAAAAGGAAAAATGAAAGGTCAAGGATAAAAATCGAAAACAGAAAACCAGATAGGGGTTGTCTGTGTTCAATGAGGTCGCAAACCAGGACATCCACACTGCTAAATGTTTTTAAATGAAAAAAATAGGAAGGTAAAGGTGTTAGAGAAGAGATGGCGAAAAGACTTCGTTGGTTCAAATGAAAGGTGTAATTGAAACCTAATTTGCTTTGCCTGGTCTACAACGAAAACCAAATGTGCAACTGAAATGGATGCAAGAATTTTAACAGGAGAGGAGTAAGGTTGCTGTAATACTCAAGTGACAGCCACCTTGGGAAGCATGTCCTCTTCCTAGGGAGGGGGAGACAGTAACCAAATTCTTAAGCGTAATTATACTACTAAAGCAGTTTGTGTGGACATGCTCCTGAAATCTAACCTATAGAGGACACAGAAATGTGTAAACAAAAATTAGTAACATTAATGATTCTCCAGCAAAATCAACTTAAGATCAAAACGGTCAACACTTAAAGGCTTTACTTCAATAAACAAGCTTGACTATAAAAGCTGACTGACAAATTTTGTCTAACTCCAATCCAGTAAAAATGGGCTTACCTGGACTGGACATCCTCCTTGCCTCTAATTCTTTTCAAGACACAAGAAATGCCAGCATTAACACCCGTCATGACAGCAAAATTACGGGCCTGAACTAATGGACCTCCTGCAAGAGCCTGAAACCAAAACATCAATTAAATTCCTTAACCATCAAAAACATTAGCTCAGTCAGTCATAAAGATTTCAACTTGAAACTCCTGCAACCACATTCTTTTACATTAATATAAACTCATGATAGAATAATTTAACTTCAGATAGAACTTATGGATAGAAGAATTTTATAATGCATATATGCAACAGTGATTTTGGTGATTTTGGTATAAACACAATAAAAGCCCCTATAACAACTCCTGTGTTCAAGAAACAAAACCTACTACTGTTAAGATATAGATACTCATACTCACTCTGTTTCAGTTTATGTGACACTATTTGGAAACAATTAGCTTTACACTTCACATTTTATCCTTGACGAAAAGTTTACCAAGTTTCAAAAGTCTTTGTTTCTTTCTTAAAACTTTGTGCCAATTCAAACTATGTCACATGAATTAAAACGGATGGAATAATTCCTTAAAAGCAATATTTCCAAAATACCCAAAATTAATAACAAAAAATTTAACCTAAAACAAACACCTGGGCTTGTTGAAAAGAGGCCATAGCTTGAGGATTGAGATTGGCAGCCGGGGGAGGAGTAGGCAAAGAGGAAGAAACATCCTGTGTAAGCGTTCCCATAAACCCACCGATAGCAGCACCCTGTAGTCCACTGGTTGCAGTCACCACAGCAGCTTCAACCGGAAGCGACTGCTTGGCTAGCCAGCCCTTGAACCCAATCTCCAATTCCTTGAACTTGTTCTGTAACTGCGTTATTGGGTTCTGGCCACTGCTATTCGGCATTTCCACTACCATCACTCCTTGCTTTCCCCCACCCATTAGAGAAGTGAAAATGGTATCTACACAAACCTTTTTTTCTCCGCTCGAATTGAAACGAGCCGTGTGAGGAAATGGGGGTTTTCTGAGAGTTGGGTGGATAACGTAACCAATGTGGGTTTTCTATTTTATTCCCAATTTCGCCCTTAAACCCTTATCTTTGCTAAATGACAAAACCCGTTACTCTCTTATCTCATTCACCCCCCGAATTTGTTTCTCTTTTCCTTTTTTCCCCAAGACAATTTCCGTACTGTTCTAACTTCTAATCAAGCATGCTTCTACATAAGTAGTATATCTCGATCGTAGAATCAATATAAATAGGGTTATTCATATACACTATTGAAAACTTTATTATCCTAAATGTTCATGTTTAGTAAATTACCCTGCCTACACAAATTTTGTTTACAAAATATATATATTCTACCTTAAAAGGCTCTCAATCCATTATTAAATTAAGGGAGGATTGTTAACCTAAAAACTACTATTTGGTAGAGGTCAAACCTACTTAATAATAAACTTTCAATCACGTATTTACTCATTGTCAATATTAATTAATGCAGGGGCTTCTTCCATTAGTTTGACGAAAGTAAGCCAGCTCTTCCCTGACTTTGAAGGAATTGCTTAGTTTCAGCTACTTAATAATAAGGCCATCTTTCAGAAAAATTAAACAAGGACGGACAATTGGAAAATTAACGAATATTAACAAAACTTTAACGAATATTAAAAACAGTAGAAAGATTTGTTATTTGAAACCAGAAGACAAAGACTATTGCAAACTCTCTGTTTCTCCTGTTAAAGATGACATAAACGAATTCGCCGGAGATGCAGAAGCAAAATTAATAGTTGTAGATGATTCTTTTCTCTCAATTGACCCATTTTTGACCAATTGAATATGGTTATGTGGTAAAGGAGGTAAATGTTGAATTGGTTTTGGACAGTAAATTTTGGGGATATTTGTTTGTGGCTATTCGGTTTCTTCTATTTGAAGGTTATGATTTTTTATAGAGTTTTGATCTAATCTTTGTTGCTGGGGTTTAGGAGGAGGAAGAGGAGTAGAAATTGGACCTTTACGAAATCTGGCATGACCAGTTCAGTTTTTGTCAAGTAAAGAAATGAACTTTTTGAATTTGTTAACAGCAACATCAGCTACGACTGTGTAATCAGCAGATACAGAGGGGTATTGATCTATATTTGTTGTTGTTGTTGGTTTTGATGAGATTGAGAAAGCAAACACGTTAATTTCATACAACTAATTATATATAGTATTATACAACTTATCTACAACTTTCACACATTATATCTACCCAGTCAAATACAACTACAATAACATACAACTTAAATACAAAATTTTATACAATATGTCTTTTGTATATTTTGTATCTGATTTATACATAGTAAAAACAAATTTCATACAACTAATTATATATTATACAGCTTATCTACAATTTTCATACATTATTTCTACTCAGTTATATACAACTACAATATCATACAACTTAAATAAATTTTTATACAATGTTGTTCAACTTTCATACATAGTTAAATAAATAAAAGAAAAATATATAAACAACAGAATACAATTTTTCTACAATTTCGTAAATATAATGTATACTACTTCTTCTTCTTCTTCTTCTTCTTCTTCTTCTTCTTCTTCTTCTTCTCTCT